GCCTGGTGGTGCTGAGTTTGGACGTGCTGAGTCTGGGGGTGCTGAGTCTGGGGGTACTCCATCTGGAGGAGCCCTCTCCTCCCAGCAGCTGCAGGAGAGGTACCTCGAGTACTGCCGCCTCCGGAGAGGTGCTTCTGGAGCTCGTCCTGGTACTTCCCCTCCTACCCAGGAGCTCCCCCCCATTCAGGTGATCCGCGAGTGGTACACGCGGCGCTGCAGTCTTCGTAGTGGTGCTCCTGGTGCTGCGGACCTGAGCGGTGGTGCTGCTGCTGGTGCTGAGGACCCGGGCGTTGGAGCTGCTGCTGGTGCTGAGGACCCGACCGGTGGCGCTGCTGCTGGTGCTGAGGACCTGACCAGTGCCCCTGCTGCTGGTGCTGAGGACCCGGGCGTTGGAGCTGCTGCTCGTGCTGAGGACCCGACCGGTGGTGCTGCTGCTGGTGCTGAGGACTCGGGCGTTGGAGCTGCTGCTGGTGCTGAGGACTCGGGCGTTGGGGCTGCCACTGGTGTCCCTGCTGCTTCTGGAGACGCTGCGCGGCCGCGACCGTACTTCGTACCGCTCCTTCAGCAGGTTCTTGGTCAGGCTCCTCCTCCTTGTCCTCCTTCCTCCGTCGAGTGTCCTCTGCCTGTCCAGCCGCAGTCACAGTTACCGCCTGTCTCGCCTCTCCCTGCTCCCTCCCCTTACGCTGGTCCCACAGGAGGTCTTACAGAGCGTCGTGAGCCTGAGTCTCGTCCTGCGTCGCCTGTTCGTACTGCTCGCACTGGTCGTCGTGTCCCACGTGAGCGTCCTCCTCCTGTCCCTGGCACTCACTACATGACTCTGCGTCCCTCCACTGCTCCGCAGCGTGTCCCGCTGCCGTCTCCTCCTGCGTCCTCTCTTCCTACTCTTCCTGACCCGGAGTCTGACTCCCGTCGTGCTGCCAGTCCCACTGTTACGCGTCTCCTCGCTACAGTTGTCACTGACCCGACCTTTGAGTCCTCTGCTGCGTCTGCTCTGGTCGCTGAGTTGGTTGACTTTGCTGCTCGCTGTCGCCTAGACTACGCTGCCAGCCTTGTCGCTAGGTCTGAGTCTGCGTCTGCCTGTCCTCCGTCCGTCGGGGGTGAGTGTGCCCTCGGCACGGACGTCCTTGAGGACAGACAGGAGGAGTTCCACTGCCTTGCTGCTGCTTTGCCCCGTCTCGTGTCCTTGCTAGTTGCCCCTGAGGGAGACCCGGATGCACCAGACATCCCGACCCCACGCTCTTACGCTGAGGCGATAGCGGGTCCCTACTCCTCTCAGTGGCAGACAGCCATGGACGCAGAGATGGCCTCCTGGAAGTCCACAGGCACCTACGTAGACGAGGTTCCCCCTCCTGGGGCGAACATCGTCAGTGGCATGTGGATTTTCAGGGTGAAGCGGCCACCGGGTTCTCCACCTGTCTTCAAGGCGCGCTACGTGGCTCGAGGCTTCAGTCAGCGAGAGGGAGTAGACTTCTTTCAGACCTTCTCCCCCACCCCGAAGATGACTACTCTTCGGGTGCTGCTGCACATAGCCGCTCACCGCGACTACGAGCTTCACTCTCTTGACTTCAGCACTGCTTTCTTGCAGGGCAGCCTGCACGAGGAGATCTGGCTGCGCCGCCCCCCTGGCTTCACTGGGTCATTTCCTCCTGGCACCCAGTGGAGGCTTCAGCGGCCGGTCTACGGTCTCCGCCAGGCGCCACGTGAGTGGCACGACACACTGAGGACGACACTTGCGGCTCTTGGGTTCGCTCCCTCTACTGCTGACCCGTCGCTGTTTCTACGCACCGACACCTCGCTGCCACCGTTCTACATCCTCGTGTACGTCGACGACTTGGTCTTTGCCACTGCTGACACCGCGGCACTCGCTCACGTGAAGTCGGAGCTGCAGAGGAGACACACGTGCACAGACCTGGGTGAGCTGACGAGCTATCTTGGCTTGCGGATCACCCGGGACAGAGCGCGGCGCACCATCACCCTGACTCAGTCACACATGGTGCAGCAGGTTCTCCAGCGCTTCCGCTTCACGTACTCCTCGCCTCAGTCCACTCCTCTGCCTACCGGTCACTCGCTCTCAGCTCTGCCTTCGGATGAGTCCGTAGAGCCGAGTGGCCCGTATCCAGAGCTTGTGGGCTGCCTCATGTACCTGATGACCTGCACTCGACCTGACCTTGCATACCCTCTTAGCATCCTAGCACGCTATGTCGCTCCTGGCCGTCACCGGAAGGAGCACATGGATGCTGCTAAGAGGGTGTTGCGCTACTTGTGCAGTACGTCGGGCATGGGGCTTGTGCTTGGAGGGCGAGACCGGGTTGTTCTCACAGGGCACTCAGACGCTTCTTGGGCAGACGACCAGGCTACTCAGCGGTCGTCCCAGGGTTACACCTTCAGCCTTGGCTCTGGCTCAGTTTCTTGGCGTTCTACTCGCTCTTCTTCTGTTCTCAGCTCCAGTTGTGAGGCTGAGATCTACGCCACAGCCATGGCTGCTCAGGAGCTACGCTGGCTGACCTACCTGCTGACCGACCTCGGAGAGCGGCCTCGTTCTCCTCCAGTGCTGTACGTTGACAACAAGGCTGCCATTGCCTTGTGTGAGGAGCACAGACTGGAGCACAGAACGAAGCACATCGCTCTGCGGTACTTCCTTGCTCGAGAGCTGCAGCAGCGTGGTCAGCTTTGTCTGCGTTACGTGGCCACGGAGGCCAACACTGCTGATGTGTTCACCAAGGCGCTTCAGCCTTGTGACCATCAGCGCTTTTGCACTCTACTAGGCCTTGTACCTACTGGGCCTCACTTGCTTACCTCTTGACCTTGCTTGTACTGTGATCACTATATATATATGCCTACTTGTTTACTTTTGCTAGGTTGTGATCACTGTATCTCTTGCTTTGTTATAAACCTGCATGTGAACTGGTCTTGAGACCACTTGCTTGTGCTCGGAATTTGTGTGGAATCCTTGAGATCCACCCTGAGCTTGCTTTACTTTGCTTTGACTGGTCTTGTGACCCTGTGGTTGTCTCCCACTGCGCCTATGGGGGTGTGTCAAACATTGCATGTTTATATTGTCTAGGCTGTAGTGGGTTACACCTTAGGGGGTACACAAAGTTAGGGTTTACTACTTGTACCAAACTCTGTTCTAGTTTATTCATTCCTGCTCAGTTATTTCTGACAAACATAACACAGTTTAACATTAGGAGGAGTGTAAACGCAGAGGTATGGCTTTGTATTACCATTGGGGACTTTGAGAAGTTCGCCGGATGGTAAATGATCGTATGTACCGTATGATTGAGCAATAAAAACCCGTACAAGAATAAATGTTCCAGCCAGGATACTTTCACAGAACTGCGTACTATGTATACATCACACCTAGAATCAATCATGAGTAGGTCATCTAATGTGGGAGTTCTAGAAACATCACAACAAGGCAGAAATAAGCGATCACAAACCTCGGACTCAATGTGAGAGCAGGTGTACCGTATCTCTGTTCCTTGTGTGCGTCGAGGGCAGCATATGAAGGCCTTAAAGCCGTTGTAGATTCATTTCGACAAGAACAATCTTTTCTCAAGCCATGTTCAAGGTGGTTTATAGCCAAGACTTCCAATTCGAGCATTTTTTAACAATCAAATACAAAGGCACATACAAGGACACGTACGGACAAAAAAGATTTTGAAAGGCATTATACCGGCAGCCAAGGATGGCATACGGTAAGTCCCCTTTTTTCTACATAGCACAAGCTTGTCGCAATGTGCATATACTCCTTCCTTAGCGCAATGACCCGTGTGCCAGCTCTCGTGTCTCTCTCTCTCTATCTCCGCATGTCACGAGCCGGGACCCTCGGTCCCCTTCCCCCCATGGGGAACGGCCCTCTGGCCAGCCGGGACCCTCGGTCCCCTTCCCCCCATGGGGAACGGCCCTCTGGCCAGCCGGGACCCTCGGTCCCCTTCCCCCCATGGGGAACGGCCCTCTGGCCAGCCGGGACCCTCGGTCCCCTTCCCCCCATGGGGAACGGCCCTCTGGCCAGCCGGGACCCTCGGTCCCCTTCCCCCCATGGGGAACGGCCCTATGGCCAGCCGGGACCCTCGGTCCCCTTCCCCCCATGGGGAACGGCCCTCTGGCCAGCCGGGACCCTCGGTCCCCTTCCCCCCATGGGGAACGGCCCTCTGGCCAGCCGGGACCCTCGGTCCCCTTCCCCCCATGGGGAACGGCCCTCTGGCCAGCCGGGACCCTCGGTCCCCTTCCCCCCATGGGGAACGGCCCTCTGGCCAGCCGGGACCCTCGGTCCCCTTCCCCCCATGGGGAACGGCCCTCTGGCCAGCCGGGACCCTCGGTCCCCTTCCCCCCATGGGGAACGGCCCTCTGGCCCGCCGGGACCCTCGGTCCCCTTCCCCCCATGGGGAACGGCCCTCTGGCCCGCCGGGACCCTCGGTCCCCTTCCCCCCATGGGGAACGGCCCTCTCGCCCGCCGGGACCCTCGGTCCCCTTCCCCCCATGGGGAACGGCCCTCTGGCCAGCCGGGACCCTCGGTCCCCTTCCCCTCTTGGGAAACGACGCGGGGATGTGCCAAGCGTTGACACTCGTCCGTGCGCAGATATTCCTGCAAACTGTGATAAATGAAACGCGCGACAATCCAAAAAACCAGAGCAGAGAAGACATATAATTATTGACCAAGTTGAAGAAATGGAAACACATACCCGTGTGGCAATAAAAAATGATAATAACGGTGCAGGCGTCACGTCCGCATTGCCGGTAGAAGTTGCAGCGGTTGATGTAGCGGAGGCGTCCCGTCATGTCCGTGGCGTTTTCGCCTTGTCACACCACGATTTTTGCAGGCGCGCCCTTGCAATCTGTCAGGCTCGACTGTGGCAATTTCGTCATCCGTCGCGTTGGTGGCGATTCGTTGTCAGTCTCGTTGGTGGCAATCTCTTCAGGCAATTTCGTCGCCAGGCGCGCCACTGGCGGTTTCGTCGTCAGGCGCGCCACTAGCGCTTTTGTCGTCAGGCGTGCCTATGGCGATTTCGTCTCCGGGTAGCTACCGATTTCGTCTCAAGGGAGCTGGCGATTTCTTCTCAGGGGAGCTGGCGATTTCGTCTCAGGGGAGTTGGCGATTTCGTCTAAGGGGAGCTGGCGATCTTGTCTCGGGCACGCTGGCGATTTCGTCTCAAGCGCACCACAGGCAATTTCGTCTCAGGCGCACCATTGGCCATCTCGTCTCAGGCGCGCCTGAGGCGATTTTGTCACCTAGTCAGGGCCCGCTGGGTCACGCGCGCCCGCTGGCAGAAAGGTACAGCTGTGGGCGCGTATAAGCCCTCTTAAAATCGGCATTCTGGTGCAAAGCGCCATCGCCTTTTATAGAAAAAGAGAGCTACGAATGAGAAAGTTGAACCAGAATGCTAGGAGAAAGTGGAACGACGAGGTGGTTGGACGAGAATAGGATGGAACTGCAAAGTTCCGAAATGAAGACGTGGGTGGAGGCCAAAAGGCCTCCAACCCTCGTTATGTACTCGGCGAATAGTAATTCGCCGTTGCCTTGCTTCGCTACAGTAAGCTGCGCTTTCACAATACACATTTTTAGAAACACACTTCCAAAAAAAATTCATTTAGGGTGTTGAGCGTTGAGGTTAACTTCGAAGTGGAAAGCTTTCGTTGTTCACAAAACTATATTGACAAAGTGTATTCCCTTACAAAACACCTACGCGGCTTGCTTTCGTTGGCACGAGTTTGCAAGGGGCAATTCCTCATGGCTAGTGGTTGTTGACGATCAGCCAGTGTGGGGATTCGTGCGAACCAGCCACGTGGCGACCGTGATGTGGGCCTGCGATGTGGGTGGTTTGGTCGCAGAAGATGCTTCGTGCCCCAACTACTCGGTGGCTCGCATCGCACAGAAGGGGGTCAGCGCCAAGGGCGGGAGTGCGTTGGCTTTGGTCAAGTGGGCTGGGCAGGTGGTGCTCCGCGCTATTCGCGCGGGCGTCTCCGTCATTCCGCGACCACGCCACCACATCCGCCCCGCAACAAGCTCGCTCACTGTACAACTGCGCATTGCGCATTGGGCACCTGTACCACATTGCGCCCTTGGTGGTGCCGCGACGCGACTCGTACCGCCTTCCTTCCCAGGCAAGTCTTGGGGCACCCCTCCTCCACCATGGGATTGGGGGCCCATGAAATTGACATTTTGACATCCATTTCACGCAGATATCACATCTCTTCCATTGCACCAAAAACAACTTTGTTCTGCTCTCGACACCACCACCTTCGCAGTATCTTTCTATCAGACAATCCCTTGGACAATATGGCCTTCAACATGTTTCTGGTCGCCGTGATCATCTTATCTTGTAAGTTTAGGGTAGATGCGTTCCTCGTAGTATCTAAATTTCGGCAGGACCATTTCACGTACCCTCGTGTTTGCTCGTGCAGTTGGGGCCGCTGCAAGTGCCGATGAGCGCTGCACCCCGGCACAGCTCAAGGTAAGCGGCCATTGCTATTTTCAAACAGGATAATCGATCACACCTACGGATTTTCACGGGATTAAATCTATGTTGCGCGAATGTATGGCAGAAATGCGATTTTGTCGTGAAGGGCAGCGAGGGCGCCGTCCCCACAATGACAGTGGAGGCCGTGAACGGCAACCGGATCCTCTCCAACTCGCCGATACTGCACAAGTAAGATACGCCATCCTTCTCCAATCAACGTCTCATTCACACTTCTCGCTCAATGACCTGATCACGGGGTCTTGTCTTGAGCTCATGAACCTTTGAGACTTTTGTTTGCGTGGCGCAATGTTCCAGGAGCGGACAGGCAGTTAATGCGGCATATTCCAGTTTCTGCTCATTCCTGAACGAAAAGAAGGTATGCCAAACCGACAGTTCAGTACCCGCTGCGAGCCAGGCGGTGCCGTTCAAATTCCTTATCAAATCCCTTCCGTTAATTCTTCCTTATCGAACATCCGCCGGTTCCTGCCGTTCGTTTGTGACTAACAGCCGACGGGCGCGTGCGGAAACTACTTCTTTTTCATGACTCGCAACACCAAATTGAACACGACGAGCGTTATCGCCAGCCGCATGATTCCCAAGCAATTTGTTCCCGTAAGTACTTCGCCCTTCCAGACACCACCAGCATCAACGCCTAGGCTGGCTTAATAAAGCCAGCTTTGATACCGCTGGCGTTAATGCTGAATTCGCCTTGCTCGTTGCCCCTGCGATGTGCGGTGTGCGATGTGCTGCGTGCTCGGTCGTGGCAGAGTTTCAAGGGCAAGTGCGTGCAGATAAGGATCGACAGCGTGCAGCTGAGCCAGACGGGGTGGCTCAACAATGGCGACAGCAAAAAGGGCTTCCCTCAGGTCAGTCGCGGCGGCTTTCTGCACTGCTCGGGTCTCATTTCTGCGAGCTCAGAGCTTTTCGCCTCTTGAGCATTCGTTCTCGTATGCTCCCGACTGGTGCCATACCTACATGTTTGCGCTCTGTTGTTCCGTGTCATTCTGGTATTGTGATTCAAAATTGCCTGTCTGTGACCGCGTGTTTGCAGGCGCGCCGCTGCGTTCTAATCAACACTGCTCTGTGACCTTGGATGCACGGTTCAATGGTAGTAATCACATAGGCACTCGTGACCACACGTTAGCGTTGTGGATCCCCATACAAGAGTATTTGCGTAGGGTTTTGCTTTGTTAACAAGAATGATAATAACAGCTTCATTCAAATGTATGGGAAATGTACCCATGCATAGTTTCATGGAAGAAAATGGCGGGGATGGTTTTGAATTTCCATGCAAATCATACCCAGAGATGTCCTGAGCCAGAGATATGCAAAAATTCCAACCTGAAATGCAAGAATCGGATACCAAGGTTTGGGGTTTAACGTGAACGTTTTGGGATAACAAACAAACTACACTCGAACTAAAGCAAGCCCAGAAAAGAGTGTCAGGTTTCGCCTCCTTTTCGCTTTTGCATTCGTCGGTATAGTCGTTACCTTCTACACTACCACAGCAGGGCTTTCCTCGGCCAGAGGAATTATTTTTCCTCATTCCATCCGACCGAGGAAACTAGTGTGCAACACCGCGGCTCTAAACCTCCTTAGCTCCACCCCGCCTCCCCGCGAGAGGTCTGGCAATGGCAGGAACACTCAGTCGCCTACACTGCAGGCTCTGGATGTCAGCCCACCATGGGAGATTTCGGATAGAGCTGATTCGTCGACACAAACCACGAGGTATCACGGGGGGGGTCCCAGGGCAGCTTAGACTGGACCCGCCAGGACAGCACAATCCCATGCGGTCCCACGCTTCATCCTTGTTTACTATCTCCTCGACCTAATTGCCGCGTCAAATGGATAGCCGCAAGTCCCCTGGCTTTCCAAGATCTTCCCACGCTCTCAGCGGCAGTCGTGGGGAGCGCGGGCGAATGGCGATCTGCGACCGATTGGTCGTCGCAAGCGATCGGCGGCGAGTTTCGACGCGCCAAGAGCGGGCGCGGAACGATAGCCGCGAGGGCCACCCCTGCGGGATGGTCAGACCTGAATCTCACAGACGAGGAGATTAGGGAGGGAATCGCGCTAGAAGCGGAGCTGCGCGGCCGCGACAGGCGGCGAAATGCACGGCGCGCGGGGACGACGCGGAGCTAGTCGCGGGGATGGGGGGACCCGCGGAGGTGCTTGGCGCAGCGGGGGGTGGGGAGTCGGAGGGGGGGATTGCGGTGGAGGGACTGAGGCGCGGTGTGCCGGGGAAGGGGCGCAATGCGGCGAAGCGGAGCGCGAAGAAGGCCAAGGACTATGGTTTGGCGCTAGTGGAACTGAAGGGGAAGGAGTTGCAGAGAGTCGTGCGGTAAGTCGCTAGCCTTTTCCGGTCCCTGTTCCCCCTCTCTCTCTCTCTCTCTCTCTCTCTCTCTCTCTCTCTCTCTCTCTCTCCCTCTCTCTCATTCTCAACCACACACACATGTACAACAAGCACGCCCTTTTCCTCCCTCCCTTTCTCACTTGCTACTGTCCTCTCCTCTCTTCTCCCTGTGCAGGTGGATGGATCTTCCCGAGGAAACGCTGGAGGCAGTGCAGCTCGCACAGGTACCATCTCTCTCTCTGTCTCTCTCTCTCTCTCTCTCTCTCTCTCTCTCTCTCTCTCTCTCTCTCTCTCTCTCTCTCTCTCTCTCTCTCTCTTTTCTCTCCCTCCCTCCCACACACTCGCTCACACTGCCACTCTCTCTCATTCTCACCAGCCCACTCTCTCATGCATACTCTCCCACTCACACTTATCCCCATATACATTTTCTCCCATGCCCCCACTCTCCCTTCATTGGTAAACAACCAACCGTCCAGCCAGCAACCATCAACCGTCAACCACTTTCAATTCGTGCTTCTCACGCTCCCCCCATCTCTACCGCTGTCACGCTTTGCGTGGTTGCTGTCCGTCAGGTCATCACAAGGCGGGGGGAAGAACGGGGTGGCGACGCCAGCTTGGCTTTATTGGTACGCGAGTGCACTCTCAGACACACAAGAAGACGTTCTTACGCATGTATATGTGCACTTTCCTTCACCAAACACCTCCTCCCTCTCTCCCCCCCTCCCCCCCTCTTTCTCTCTCTCTCTCTCTCTCTCTCTCTCTCTCTCTCTCTCTCTCTCTCTCTCTCTCTCTCTCTCTCTCTCTCTCTCTCTCTCTCTCTCCATCTCTCACTCACCCTCACTCACCTTACATGCACTCCTCACCTCTTCTCCCTTGCGCTTCCCTCACTTTCATGTCATCATCACATTCCTTTTCACCCCCCTCCTTTCTGTCCTCTTCCCAGGGGGTTTGCTGCGAGGGGAATCAGAAGAGAGGATGGACGAGGCCATAGCTGCTGCCAAGTCTGGTGTGGTGCCCTCATTTGTGAATGAGGAGAGCCAGGAAGTAGAGGAAGGAATGGTGGGGATGGAGGGACAAGCAAAAGCAGTGTGACCAAGTACACATTACAAGTCAATGTGGTTATGTAGGCCATATTGGTCACCTTTGCAATCAGGGTACAGTATGTTCTCCCCATTTACGATCACCAGCTCCTTGTGTACTTGCGAACCACAAAGGAATGCAGTCACACACGTCTGACTTTCAAATACCATATCACTCTTCCTTAGAGTCATCCCTGCATAATTTTTACACACAACTGCCAGTAGTGTGTCAAACCCTTGCAGTTATATTGTACGATCAGTAGCGACCCTCTTCCTGCCTCCTTATTTGCCCTGCACCATGCTCCCCTTCATGTCCGAATCTCAGCACTGTCCTGATGTTGTGCGGAACTGAAAATCTTAGATTGAAAAAACTGAAAGCTACATTTATCTCAGCATCATTTTGACATGTCTGCCTAGGGAAGCAGGAGATGGACACAGGTGACAGTCTCTTCTACCCATCAGCCGACTGAAATCATGCCATTCTTAGTTAAGGATCTCAGACACAACCCCAGCGCCCACAGTGCGACCTCCCTCACGGATGGCGAAGCGCATTTGCTTCTCAATGGCCACGGGCACGAGCAGATCCACAACCATCTTCACTCTGTCGCCAGGCATAACCATCTTCGTCTCCTCACCCTTGTCGCTCAACACCTGCACCACACCAAAACGTATTGGTCAAATTAAGAAACAGGTCCACACAACATGGATAAAAAACACCATGACACAAGCTCCACGGACCTTCGTGACGGAGCCAGTGACATCAGTTGTGCGCATGTAGAATTGGGGCTTGTAGCCGACGAAGAACGGCGAGTGCCTGCCACCCTCCTCCTTCTTCAGGATGTACACGGACGCCTCGAACGAGTTGTGGGGCTTGATGGAACCGGGCTTGGACAGAACCATCCCTCTCTGAAACACGGACAAGGAATGAAGCGTTAGGGACACACCATAACGCGACACCATAAGGCCTGATTATCAACATACAATTAAGAAATAGGTACCTGGATTTCGGTCTTCTGGATACCACGGAGAAGCATGCCGCAGTTATCGCCGGCCATGGCCTCGTCGAGGATCTTCTGGAACATCTCCAGACCAGTCACGGTCAGCGTCCTCATCTCCTTCAGACCAACCAGCTCAACAGTGTCACCAACCTGCAAGAGAGACATTACACAAAGGAAATTCCGGCATGACATGTTTGTTGGCGCACGATGACACGTTAAGTATCAGCTGTTCTTATTTCTACTGCACACAACTGATTCATCTTAGCATTCTGTCCAGGCTCTCACCTTCACAATGCCACGCTCCACCCTGCCGGTGGCGACGGTACCGCGACCAGTGATGGAGAACACGTCCTCAACAGCCATGAGGAACGGCTTGTCGACAGCGCGCTCGGGAATGGGGATGTACTCGTCGACAGTGTCCATGAGGGTGAGAATCTTGTCCACCCAGGGGTTGTCGCCGCGCTTGGTGCCAGGGTTGGCGGTGAGGTGCTCGAGGGCCAGGAGAGCGGAGCCGGCGGTGATGGGGATGTCGTCACCGGGGAACTCGTAGTTGGAAAGAGTCTCGCGAACCTCCATCTCGACCTGCACATCCAGAACCCTGATCGTTGATTAGTTCCAAACCCCTACGCACCCCTCGAGGCTGATACGGAAAGCCTTATTAGCCCGCATGTAGCACGTATCCATTAAGTCTGCCTCGCGAGAACCTTACCAGCTCGAGGAGCTCAGCATCATCGACCTGATCCTCCTTGTTCATGAACACCACCATGGCGGGCACACCGACCTGCGAGGACAAGATTCCCCTCAGTCAAGTTAGCCAAGTGAGGGAGAACAATAGTGGCAATGAATACTTTGTGGGCAAATTTTATAACAAACAGGATAATCGAAAGCATGGTATTACCTGCTTGGCCAGAAGAATGTGCTCCTTGGTCTGAGGCATGGGACCATCAGCCCCAGACACGACGAGAATGGCTCCGTCCATCTGAGCGGCACCGGTAATCATGTTCTTGACGTAATCGGCGTGGCCGGGGCAGTCGACGTGAGCGTAGTGCCTGGCCTCGGTCTCATACTCGACGTGAGCAGTGTTGATGGTGATACCACGAGCCCTCTCCTCCGGAGCAGCGTCAATCTCATCGTACCTGTACAGAAAAACGTTAGGTCGAATTCCCGTTTCCAATTACTTCTGACCTACACCTTCCTAAGAGAAGGAGCACTTGGTATTAATGTTACCTCTTAGCCTGGCCACCAGTGACGGAGGCAAGAGCTGTTGTGATGGCTGCTGTCAGGGTGGTCTTGCCGTGATCGACGTGTCCAATGGTGCCAATGTTAACGTGGGGCTTCGTCCTCTCAAACTTCTCACGCGCGGCCCTGACGGTCAGCTTGCGAGGGGTAGAGCTGACGCCAGTCTTAGGGGCGAAAGAGGCAGTTTGGGTGAAGGAAGAGCCCAGCTTCGACTCGCTCCCGCTGAGGAAGCACACCTTCAGGTTGGCTGACTGGGTAGCAGCTGCCATGGTTGCTAGCCTAGCAGATTAATCCAACAAGGGTACGTGAAGGCGTGGTAGACGCTAAGGATCGAGCGTGGGACAAGCGAAGCAAGGAAACCAGAAATCAAGGATTCTGGTCGTAGAGTGACAAACAGGGGGGGATTGGAGGCTGAAAAGGAGTCGTTGGGCACAGAGATTCCTGCTGATGCTCCCTGGGGAACAAAACCCGAGGTTCTCCCGCCAGGATGTCACAGCGCCACGTTTCCTGCCTACGTGGAGTTGGTTCAGAAGCGTCCAGGCGGGATAAGGCGCTGAATAGGCAGAAATTTCGCTGGCGAGGCTTGGGAGTTGGAGGGGATGTGGGGGGGTTTGGGTTGCTGAAGGTGGTGGCTTGACGGCCACGTCGCATACCGACGTGGAGGGAAAGCCATCGTCAGCGCAGCCTTCCCTGCTCGGTGGCAACCACAACCCGAAAGCCACGTCCCCCCATATCACCCCAACACAACCCCTTTTGTGACAGAGGGGTATGGGTCAATTTCTGGCGAGCTTTCGGAGGTGTGGATGGATTCTCAAACAGCGCCCGCCTTCCTTGGTCTCTCACTAGGAGCGAGATCACCGCTTTGAATTGTGGACAATCTACGGTAAAGGATTCTAGATCCAACTAACATCACTACATGTGTATGAGATATAAATATATACCAACTACTGTATATGTGACAGAGGTGAGCCTGCAATAGCAGTCATTCATATTATAATTTTATGAAGTCCCAACAATTTTGCTGACATCTTTTTGACAGCTTCTGCTTTGTTGCCTTAAAACATCATTCATAATTGTCATTCATGATTCAGTTGCATGCATGCCCCTGTACCATACAAATACAGTTTCAATATGTGTTCATGTGAATGGCAATGGAACATGGGTGGTCACTGGGCTGGGCGAGGAAATTAGTGATTGGGCAACGTAGTGAGACATATGAATCAAGTGGAAATGCCCAGCATCACCGGAGGAGAGATACGGTAGAATGAAAGGGGACCAGGCCGGAATCAGGGAAGGAGGGACATTTGCGAGGGAAGGAGGGAGGGATGCTTCGAGCAAAAGAAACAGCATTTACGTTAGGTGAATACGGGAGAGCAAGGGATTGATGCGTGAGGCAGATGCGTGAGGCCACCATCACGCTTACAGCTCACCCAGTCACTACCTCGTAACCTCGTTCTCGAGCTCTCCCTCACACAGTTATCTGCAGCCCTGAGAATATGGCAAATCACAACGGCAATGAATCTATGAAGACTGCACACAGAATTGGAGAAACAGAACAGTGCATTGGATCTCCACCATTACATGTCTGTACAGGAGCAATAATACAAATGCCAAGGCCACAAGCAGACCATACAGTACATGAGGCCATTAACCAACTCCCCTTCCTCCTCTCCCGACTTCTCCCCAACTCCCCCCCCCTCAAGTCCCCTCCAAGTTAATCCCCCACAAATCAACTGCCCCCCACCTTCGCCAAATGGAGCGAGAAGGTCGCATGTGGAGCTATCCGCGCTACAGACACCGCCGTTATCGAATCAAACCGCACCTGCGCCCCCTCCTTCTCAACAAGTGCCACGTGCACTACGTCCTCGTACGCCCCCTCCCCACCCGTTTCCACCAGCAGAGCGATCAGCGCCGCTTGCAGCGCTGGAAGGCTCGGGTTGTACGCGGCGGACTCGACATAAGACCCTGTATGCACCGCTCCTGTCCGCGATACAAGCGCTACTCCAGAGGGCGACAGGCTGTAGGGAGCGTAGGACGCGTTAGCAGCGTCTAGAGCGCGCGACACGGCTTCCTGCCCGAGAGGAGTGGAGAGAACAGCAGCGGGAGAACCAGCGGAGGCTGCTGCAGCAGCTGCAGACTCGATAGCGGGTGAGGAAGCGGAGGAGAACGAGCGGGCGAGTGGAGGCACCAACATGAAATCCAACGGCGAGGGCACGTCGATGGGATTGATTAGCTGCAGGCCGTTGTCTCGCTGCTCCAGCAGCAGCGGGAAATCGTCGGCTAGGAGACTGTGTGGGCCGAAGCGATGCGGCAACAAATGCGTGAGGGTGGTCTCTTCCGCCTCCTCCGCCTCTTCCGCTATAATCACGCGCAGCCCCTCTGCCCCCCGCAGCTCTTGCAGGAATTGCCGGCAATGGCCGCAGGGGGGCCGCGAGACCAGCAGCGCGGAAAGCGCGGGCTCGCCGTGCAATGCGGCGGAAGCCACGACGAACTGCTCGGCGTGCACAGAGTTGTGGAGAGGCAAGCCGGGGAACTCGAGATTTACTCCCAGGAACGCGCGGCCCGTCTTAGCACCTATTGCGATGGTGGAGACGTGGAAACGCGAAATGGGAGGCCGAGCGCGGTCGGTGGCGGGTTGCAGGAGGTAACGGCATATGTAGTCTTCTACGGAGATATTCGCGGCGGAAGATGCAGAGGAAAGGTCTGAGGGCGAGAGGACGAAAGGAACCGAGCAGGGAGAAGGGATGAGCGGATGTAGCGCATCAGAAGAGGGGGAGGACGGGGAGGTGACGGCAGGGGAGCCGGCATTAGGAGCGGAGGAAGCGCGGGGCGGAGAGAGGCCGGCGGTCAGGGAGAGGCGGGTGCGGGATGAGGCGGGTAAGTGGGAGGAGAGACCCGAGTGCTTGTGAAAGGTTAATCGAACGAAGGATCGTGAGTGAAGACTGGAGAAAGCTGCAGCGCTTTTGACGGTCGTGTTGCTGACTGCTTGGCGCAAAGGTTGCAATACACTAGCGAATTTGTTCGACGAAAACGGAACACTCGAGGCGGACGACCCCTGCCTGAAATGGGAAAGACTTCTACTATGGGTGATGCTAGTGGTAACAGAGCAGTTCGACGCTCTCGCACAGGATGACATGGCTCCTCGAAGTAATAAAAGAGCAGAAAAATGAAATAAAAAGGAACACTCTACGTGGGACGGACTTCACCTAAGCACAGCTACGGATACGGACCCTGAAACGTGTGAAACTAAGGACATCATCAGATCGCGTTCATGGCGAACTAGAAATGTACATTTCTAGTCTGCAGGCCTGCCCAGATCATGGATTGACCACAACTGTTTGCGTTCAGGGATAAGAGAATTCAAGGGATATTTTGCTAGGTGTTGTTGTAGTTCAGTACATAACCTGGACGTGGAGTGGTTGTCCGGCTGCTGCATGACGAGTTGTGACGACGGGCACTGTCGAGCCACCGGAACCGAACTGAACTACTTTAGAAATGGGTTTGGCGGGCTCATGGATGGACTCGTCATTTTAGAAACACGCCCTGACCTCGAGATTCCGTGATCACGCAATTCGTCACTTTCTCAATGCTCAAACCGACCATTGGGTTGTGCTTCTTGTGACGTGGCGACACGACAGCCACCAGACAGGTAATTCGTTTTTCAGCTTTCTTTCTGGTATCTGCCACCATTATACAAAGCGCCAGAGTATAACCCAGTACAACACGGGTGATGTAATATTGCGGAATGACAGCAGGCCATGCATACAAGGACAAGCATTAATAATAGAGGACACCCAGCAGCCCTAGACTCATCTTCTGAATCTCCACCTAGTTTGACTTTTTCGTTGTCTTCTGCCTTTATGGTTGCTCTTTGTACATTATAATGTACGTTAGTGGCAGCTCATAGATAGAGCATGCAAGACAAGGTATTCTACGAACACGTGTCCTTACCCTACACACATTTAGCTTGTACATAACTCCAAGTTAAAGGTCGTATCATGCTCTTGGAACTTGGTTAGAAGTTGGCCCTGCAAGCAGGACCAAGGACACCACCAGCCCTTTACCAAGCATCCGCTGTACAATTTGCTTTAATGCCGACCCCATCTGCTGCAAATAATGCCACAGGCCTGCCTTGGCTGCTGTTCCCCACTTGCAATGTCTGTGATGTCACCACACGGCCGACCAGAGGGCTTTCCACAGGCACCACCGCACTGCTCTTAAGCATTGCTCCCCCACTCCCTTGCAACAAAAAGGGGAGGCTGTCAGAATCTGTCCCATCAGACTGGTTTCCTCCCTGGATAGCAGGGGCAACGTCTTCCCCACGGTGGTGGCTTTGGCGTTGACTTAGGCGATGGTGGTGGTGGTGCCAGGGGGAGCGGTGCCCGTGTAAACTGCTCCCAGCAGCTGCTTCACTCGAAGGCTGTGGGATGACCAAAGGGGAAGCATCTGGGAAAGCAGATGCTGTGACAATGATTGCTGACCCGCTGTTGTCTGCCCCTTCTTTCCCACTCTTCTGACCAAGTAAACTCGGCTGATCTGAGCTCAAACTGTAACTGTCACCATCATACTCTTTATAATCACCAGTGGCAGAAAATGCAGCAGCAGAAGCACTCGCAGCATTGTGACCAGAGCTGTTGCTTTCCCCTCCCCTCTCACCACCACCAGTGCTGCTGCCGCTATCACCATCAGCATCATCACCGTAACTACTGCTGTAACTTTCGTCTGCACCATACCCATCATCAACATCACCCCCTGCTGCTCCATCGCTCCACCCCTGACTCTCAACGCTCTTGCCTTTCACTCCTCCACTCGGACTCATCTTCGTGCCCTTCAGCGTTCCTCCACTCCCTCCTGCCTCTCCATCTCCCCCTCCTCCTCCCCCTCCTCCTCCCCCTCCTCCTCCCTGCAAGTGTGTGACTACCCGAGGTTTCATGCGATTCGGCTTGCTGCTGCTTCCCCCTCCTCCCCTCCTCCCCTGAACTCCCCCCTCCCCCGCCTTGGTTCCCAGAAAAGTTGCTGTCCGGTGATGGGGGGTCACGAGGCCGCATGGAGCGATCGGGGGAAGGGGAGGGGGAGGGGGGCCGCTCAGGGGCGGGGTTAAGTGAGGGCTTGGGGGAAGGCCTGGGGGAATGGTTGAGGGAAGGCTTGGGGGAAGGCTTGGGGGAAGGCTTGGGGCCAGGCTTGGGGGCAGGCTTGGGGGCAGGCTGGGGGGAAGGCTTTGGGGAAGGCTTGGGGGAAGGCTTGGGGGCAGGTTTGGGGGCAAGCTGGGGAGAGCGCTTTGGGGATGGGGGGAAGGCTTGGGGGAAGGTTGGGGGGAGGTCCGCTTTGGAAAAGGTCGAGGAATAGGCTGAAGGTTCAGTTTGGGGGGTAGTTGTGGGGAAGGTCGGGGGGAGGAGCGGGGGAAAGGCTGGGGGAAGAGATCGGGGGAGGGGATGGGGGTGGGGATGGGGTTGGGGGTAGGGGAGGGGGAGTTGGAGGGCTTGCGTGGAGGCTTGCTGGTGGCGGGTGCCTTTGGCTTGGGTGACCTGGAAGGCATGGGAGAATGAGATGGACTAGAGGGCGCACGAGAGGGCGAGCGAGAGGGCGAGGTGGACGGGGAGCGGGAGGGCGTTGATGGTTTGGCCGGTGGGGGCGAGGAGGGGTGGGGGGGTTGCAGCGAAGGCTCCTGGAGTAGCTGGTGGTAGAAGAGGTCCGCCCATATGTCTGGCACTCCAGGCTGGCACCAGTGCAGACAATCAATGTAACGCATCTGGTGGTGGGGGAGGTTTGGGCGGATGGGGGAGATGATTTGCAGATGTGGGGGATGTGGTGACAGCAGGGAAGTGACGTAGGGAGAGAAGAAGTGGGCAAAGGAGAGAGGAAGAGTGGGGAGTGCGAGGGGGATGGATGCGACGGGGAGGAGAGGAGAGTAGACGAGACGAGAAGAGAAGAGACGTCAGGAGAGGAGAGGAGAGGAGATGCGAGGAGAGGAGAGGAGAGGAGAGGAGAGGAGAGGAGAGGAGAGGAGAGGAGAGGAGAAGAAGGAACAAGAACCCCTCTCTCCTTGCAGCACCCAGCCTTCGTTATCCTCCCTTTCTCCTGTGACTACCCTCTCGGGTACCATCCGAAAGAGGAAAAAAAAGAGAAGGGAAAAGGGAGGATAATCTCAGCACAGAAACCCCGCAACTCCCCCCAGCCCCTCCTCTCCCCTCTCCACCCTTCTGACCCTTTGCTCCTCGCCCCTCGCGCCCCTGCGCCCTGCGCCCCTCGCCTCACCTTGCCAGTGGCGGTCGACCAGTTGCCCACGTGCGCCTCGGGGCGCATGGCGGAGATGCGCGCAATGTCCAGCAGGCGCACCGCGCCCCCGGGGGGAAGGCCGCGCGCTGCATGGGCAGGAAGCGCGACAGCTGCACGTTGTTGCGCTCCATGCGCGCTACCTGCGGGGGAGCGGCGGCGGGGGGGATAAAAAATGGAGTTTGAAAGGGATGGTGAAGGTAAAGCGAGAGGAGCGAAGGCGAATGGGTGGGAAGAAGACGGTGGAGGGGGAGAGGCGGTCGCATAGGGGCCGGGGAGGAGGGTCGGGAGGAGGGTCGGGAGGAGGGTCGGGAGGAGGGGAGGGAGGAGGGGAGGGAGGAGGGGAGGGAGGAGGGGAGGGAGGAGGTGGGGAGAGTTGGCTGAAAGTGTCTTTTTTCGCCCTTGCATCATGGCCCCTTGCATGTTCCCCGCAGGAGTTCTAAGTCTCTAAACCCGTCTCATTCCCCGTCACAAACCCGCCGCATCTCCCTCTCCGTCCGCGCGCACCTCTTTCCGCGTGAGCACGTGGCCGGGGGACCCGCAGAGCCCCCGCCCGCCGAGCTTCTTGGCGTTGTGCTGCGGGGAGGCCGTCATAAAGAACGCCAGCGGACCACCGCGCCTGCTGCCCGCCGCCGTCGCTGCTGCTGCTGCTGCTGCTGATGCTGCTGCTGCTTCTTGTTCTGATGATAATAGCGATGATATTGGTACTGAAGTTGATGGTGGTGTGGAGGAAAGGCCGCGTGCAGGTGTGCTCGCGCTGCTGCTATCACGCGCATCATCACCATCACCACCGTCTATCTCATCCGTGTAACCATAAGCGCCGTCGTCCACGTCAGCGTCGGCGGCATCCGCGTCGGCGAAGAACGACGACGCGGCGGAGGAGGCGGATGACGTGACTGCGGCGCGAGGCGACTCGAACAGCCGCCGAATCGTCTGCATCGCCTTGCTGCGCGCGCAAGTGATTGGCGGGGGGATGCGGGGAAGACGGGGGGAAGAGAAGGCGACGGGAAGGGAGCTTAGAGGCAGAGAGGCAGCGGCGGAGAGAGGCGGGAGAGGCAAAGCCTGAATCCATCTCGCTCACACCTCGTCAATGCGGAAGAGAGGAGGATGAAGCGCGACTAGCGAGACTGGAGGAGCGTGCAAGATTCGACATGTGTCCAATCGGGTCCGCGTGCCGTCCGTTACCATACGCGAAACCTCACCGCACTACTTGATAACGACGAAGGTACTTGCGCCCTACCTGTTACCCCCTTTGCCCCCTCCCCGCCCGCCCCCCCCTTGCGCCGCACCTGTACCCCTGGTACGCGTCCACGCCCGGCAGCACGCGCCAGTCGCGGTCAGTAATAGCCATGGCGGAGGCCTTCTTCGTGCGCAGCGTGCGCCAGTGCGTCGCGGTTTCCAGCACCACCAGATCCACCGCCCCCAGCAGCGCCGCCCATTGCGGGTTCGCCGTCTGCACGTCGATCGCCACGTCCTCCGGGCCCGCCTCCGCCGCGCTGTACCGCGGAACCAACCGCGCCAGCATCGATTTGTCTGCGCGGAACGGGGGAATGGGGACGGGCGGGGAGAGGTTGGCGGAGGAGTGGCGGAGGTTGGAGCAGCCGAACGAGATGGTAGGGAGAAAGGAAGCACTATTTATTTAGCCTTCCCAACAGTCGCCGTCGAAAATCAATATTGCGCGCAGTGCGCCATGCACGACGCGGATCTTGGCTCTCTAACGAGTCCAAGTTCGAGTCCCACGTTCCACGCAAACAGCAGCGCGTCTCCGCCTCTTCCCTCTCTCCCGCCTCGTCCCTCCGTCCAAATCTTCTCTTCTTCCCCGTCTCCTTCCATCCCCACCCCGCTTTCCCTCCCGCGCCCGTCCCCGCTTACCCTGCGTCACGCGCATGAGATAGTCGTCCCAGATCCCCACGATCCGCCCGCCGACCGCGGGCACACGGTAAATCCGCGCGTCCAGCTGCGGGGAGCGCTGCGCCAGGGGCCCGCGCGGGAGCAGGTGGCGCGTGGGCGCAGAGACGGCGGTGACTGCGCGCAACTGGCAGAGGATGGCGGGGAGGAAGTTGGCGATGGCGATGGAGTCGCCGATGATCGCCAACGTGCGATTGGCGAGTATGCGAAGGAATCCCCTGCGACGAAGGAGGGTGTGCGATTCGCACAGTGAGAGGGTAGGTGATTGGGTTAGCGACATCAATGACGCGTGGAGATGCTACAGGAGGAGTTTCAGACAAGTGATAATTATCATGCTTCTGATTAACACGAAAAAAACGGATAAACGGTAGGGTGGTACTCGACTAATCGGTTAACTAGTCGCATAGATTCGCAATGGCGAAGCCAGATAGAGCCTTCGCGTCGCACACCTGGAGTTGAAGCGGATGAAGCGGCGGCACGACGTGGAGTACCACGAGTAACGCACGTACGACGAATCGCGCCGGCCATTGCGCTTGCACCGCGTCAGACCGAACTGCACGGAGGGGTTGGGGGAAGGGTGGGGATAGGAGAGGAGGTGGGGAGGGGACGGGGAGAGAGGATTTCGAGTTTGGAGGTTAGGCGTTGCGCGTGGCGTTGCGCTGGTCTCGCGAAGGGCACGACGAGAGGGAGCGGACGAGTTGGCGCGGCAGGTTAGCGATGTCTCAAACTCCGGAGGCGGCTTGACAGCAGGATGCCGCGCAACGTGAGCGACGGCTGAAATACCTATGTGACAATACGTAGGAGTCAGAAGCAGCCTCAGCTTCGACGATGAAAGAGAATCCTTTGATTCGTCGCCTAGAAACATTTCTGAGGCGAGCCACAAACAGTCTTTCAGCAGATCATCCTTCGTTTCGCCTACCGGCGAGACTCTAGCCTCTCACGAGCTCACACACTTTCTCGCTATCTGACTCGACTTTTGAGACGTCTCAAAAGTCGCACTCACGCAATCCCTCGCTACCTGACTCGCTCCTACGCTCTCATCCTGCGCCCATCACCACGACTCCAGGCCCCCCTATCCGCCAAGGAAACACGTCACCGTTTCCACCACTGTACAAGTGCGCGCGTGCTAGTTTTCCGCCTATGGCATATGCGCCAGCGCCAGTGCAGAAGCAGCTGCTTGCGGTTACCGCTGGCGGAGCGAAACGACGTACGAGGTAGGGGCAGGAGTCGTCGTAGGGGGGACGCGCGAAGTCAACGACCCATTGACCTTCAAATATGTCGCACTGGCCGTTCCGCGCTCCCGCCGACGCGCGTACTTCCCCTTGCTGCTTGCCCTTATGGGAACTCCCCTGCTTGCCGCTTCTCTTGCCCGCGCCGTTCTTCCCCTTTCCGCTGCTTCCCCGGCTACCGGCGCTGCCGCAAAGCGCGGGTGCTACGACGAGTAAAAGCAGCAGAATTAAAAGAGATGGAACTGCTGCGAAAGTCGGTCGTCCGCCCGTGCGACGTCGCATGGGGTCGTTAGAACGGGTATTGTCGTCATGATGGTGGAGTCTATGCCGTCCCCTCTGCCTATCAACCATTTCAAGTGCCTGCCGCGGCCAGCCTGACGATTCTCATTGCCGGCGAACGAGATCGCGAACGACAAGGAGAGAGAGCAATGAAAAGCGCTTCTTACTCGACTGATCTAATAACGCGAAAGATATGCCACTTGACTTTACTGATGCGTTGTTCACTAGTACTCAGATGACGGGACTCGACTTAAACTTCTGGTTGTGATGAAGGTAGTGAATGGGGAACTGTAAGTGGCTGATGCAGCGATGCAGTGCCTAGCTATGGGGGTGTGTGGGAAGGAGAAGAAAGGCATCTGTAGGAGAAACTCTCAAGCGCCACAGAGGCGCGAAACGAAATGGACAACAGTGCAGGCATGAATCGTCACTGCACATCTATAAAAGGCTGACGATGGTTCCGTTCCAATACTTGCTCGCTCTTAGGCAAGAGAGCTGGTGGGGAACGAGGAGGTGATGGGAGAAAGATGGATGCGAGAAACTGGAGAGAAATCGACGCGCCGCGGAAATTGCATTCTACGAAGCGCGACCTCATGTATCTAGAAGAAATGTCGGCTGGGCTCCCGCCAAATTATTCTGCATGGTAACCATCCCGCCAGCGAAAAGGGAACCAGCCGTCTTCTGGGTTGATTGGTCGGGGACGGACACAACGCTGGCCCACACACGCGAAATGAAAATGGTCGGCGAATGACCGTTTTCAGCCCAGTTTACAAGTCAGAACCGTGCGACGACAGTCAGTTACAGAACGACCAATTTGCATTCACCATATGAAATATACATTGTGGTAATGATCTTACACGGATGTGCTAATCCTAGTGTTGAATGATTTTGTGAGGGACTTAAAAAGTCCAAAACCGACAACAAAAGTGCATGCAAAAATTAGTACTCCCTCTTTCCACGAGTTGGAAAATGCTCCAGCTCAGACCAAACTCGCCATCATCAGCTACCCTTCCACAACCTCTCACTTCCCTCCCTTTTTCTTATCCCGGACCATCTTATTGAGCCCGGGGGCTGTGATCTTAGCATTGGACATCATCGCAGACACCAGGTCCGGGAGGGGCACGGCCTTGATGAGCTCCCTCTCCCGAGCCGACAGGTCCGGCGAGCGCAAGAAGAGGTCCACTGCTTGCTTGACAGCTGGACGGCACATGGCATGAATGGTATGGGAAGAGACGAGGAATAATCGGTGGGAACAAGGGGTGAGAGATAGAGGAAAGAGGTGAGTACGGGAGCTGGGGATGGGGAAAACGGGGGGTCATTCGATGTATGGGTGAGGGACCAGTCTTCTTATGACTGCAAGACACCTGGACGGGACGAGATGGATCAGATGGGAGCGGGTTTCCACACTCCTTACACAAAGGTGCCAAAACCGTGTCAAAATGGGGTCAAGGTGCTGAGCCATCCAGCAAAATCTCACGAGGTGTAGGTGCGCCCTTAGTTGAAGGCCCCGGAGAACGCAGAGGCAACGAAAAGCTCCCAACACTCTTTCGTGTCTGTACGAACAAACGCCAAGCGGATAAACAAGCACCAAAGCACACCAGCCCAGCTCTTACCTTTGCCCTTCTTAAGATGGCCTGGAGTGACCTTAACCCGGTACTTGAAATTCGCGAGAGCGTTCACAGGCCCGCACACAGGCACGGCATACAGCAGCACATCGGAGGGCAGAGGCACGCCCGTGAGCGAGTCGATCTCTGTCAGCCGCTCCCTCTCCTCCACTCCCACCTCCGCTACCTCCTCCTCTGCTAGAATCGCCTCAACTTCTGCCTCCTCTGCCCGCGCCCGTGCCCGCCGGCTCAGCTTCTCCCCACCCTCTGCCTCTCTCTCTCCTCCTCCCTTCTCTCCTAAATCCGATTCCTTTTCCCCTCCTGCTGCTGCTCCTCCTTCCCCGCTGCTATGTGCGTCACTCTCCCCCAGACTCGTCAACCCTGATTGTGCTGAATCATCTCCCTTCACCCCACCAATGTCTCCTCCTGCTGTTCCTCTCGCAGCTTCCCCTTCGACTTGCTCCACACTCTCCAAACCCTCTACTCCCTTGCTCACCCCACCAACATCATCACTAGCAGCAGTATCAGCAGTGCACTCCTTGGCTCGGTGCCCCTTGCCCTTGCACTTGAAGCACACCAGCTCATTCAACGCAGAGCCTCCACCCTTGCCCTTGCCACCCCCACCCCCCCCACTCGCAGCACCAGAGCAGCAGCAGCGGCACCATTTCCGCCCTTGCCTGCTCCTTTCTTTCCTGCGGCCGCTGATGCCTTGTTGCCTGCCGACTGGGGGTGAAGTGGGAGGGAGGGGGGAGAGGGAGATGGGAGGAGGAGAGGAAGGAGGCAGATGGGAGGGCCATGGAAGTGGAAGGCTGATAGATGACTTTTGATTCAACTGAAACAGCTGATGGCTTCAGTTTCCAGATTTTGTTCTGACGGAAAACTGGAGAGGGAGAGATGGTGAAGTGTTGGCGAAGGCGTTTACACGTGGAACAAGATTAAAGGCAATGTTGGGTGGAATCAAGTTGCAGTGTGGAAGAGAGAGCGACAGAGTGCCAGGGGAAAAGAGGCTACTGAGTCACCGTGCCATTCTTTACTCGTCAAGTTTTCCAAGGAAAGAAAGAAAGAAAGAAAGAAAGGGCGTGGAGACATACCCCCAGCAAGGCCAGTCGGAGCTGCCTCTCCTCCTCATCCTGATCCGCATACTTGCTCTGCTGCTTCTTGCTCTGACCCCTCTTGCCCCTAGCTCCCTTCACCGTTTCGGCACCCCCCTTCCCTCCTCTCCCCTGTGCCTGTTCCTGCGGCTGCTCCTCTCCCCCCTTCTTCCCACTCCCTCCTTTCCTCCCACCCTTCCCTCGCTTGCCCCTTCCCATCTCTTCCTCCTCCCCTCCGCCTCCTCCCTTTCCTCCCTCTTCTCCACCCCCCCTTCCCCTCCCCCCTCACCTCCCCCTCAACACCATTCTGCTTCCCATCCTCCCCTGCTTCCCTCGACTGCCCCTCCCCACCTCCTTCCCCTCTCCCCCTCCCTTCTTCATTCTCCTCCGCTCAGCACGGCTCACATACGCCCTCTCCCTCCTCTGCACTCCGCCCTTCCCACCATCACCATCCCCTCCAGCCCTCTCCTCCTCCTCCTCCTCTCCGCTACCCTCCCCTGCCACACCTACATCTTCCAGACCATACTTAGCAGCAGCAGGTACGCCAGAAGCTATGCTCCCAGCCTGCCCTCTCCCTTCCGCTTTCCGTTCACCACTCTGCTTCTGCTGTGCCGTATCCGCACCTGACCCCGAGCCTCTCTTGGCTCGGCCCGTGCCTGCAGCTACCCCCACCGACAGCACCGCATCAAGCATATCTTCAAGATCCCCTTCCTCTTCGCCCTCCTCTCCTTCCTCTCCCTCCTCTTCCTCCGCCTCTTCCTCCTCCTCCTTCTCCTGTGCTCCTCTTTCCTTTTCTGCTTCCTTTTCCGTTTCCCGAACCCCCCCTCCACCTCCTTCATTCATTCCCTCCACAGCAGTAGCACCCACCCTCCCCCTCTCCCTCCTCGTCCAATCCCCCTTCCCCTTCCCCGTCCTCTTCCCCTTCCCCTTCCCCAGCCTCCACGCCAGCAACCGCCTCCCCTCCCTTCCCCCCTCCCTTCTTCCCCACCGCCCCCCCATCCCCCCGTCCCCCTCCTCCCCCCCTCCGCGCACCCTCCTCTCCCCCAAATGCGCCCCCACGCAGCTCTCATCCACCCTAAACACAAACCCAAACGCCATCTGAAGCGGCACGGGCGGCAGGAAATTCTTCTTCCCGCGGATCATGAACGATCCAACGGTCAGATATTCGCCAGTTGGCGCCGTCTTGGTGACCTGATGGGGGTACACCCACCAAGCACTGGTAACCACCTTGGAGTCCCAGGCAGCGGATAGGCAGACAGTGGCAGCGCCGGCCTGTGCGAGTGTGAGCGGGGGGATGGGTGATAGACCGTGCTGGTCTGTGTTGCGGATGATTGTGCTTGCTGCTCCGTGTAGATCCGCGTGAATGTAGCTGGGAGGGGGGAGGGAGAGAGGGGAGAAAGTGGCATGTGAGTCGACTCAGAAGTCATTGCGAGAGAGAGCGGGGGAATGGGTGCTAGCCCGTGCTGGTCTGTGTTGCGGATGATGGTGCTTGCTGCTCCGTGGAGATCCGCGTGAATGTAGCTGCAGGGGGGGACAGAGAGAGGGGGAAGATGTGGGGAAAAAGGGAGGTAAAGAGAGATGGGGAGGGGGGAATGTGGGAGTGTGCTTCGGGTAGAGTTTGAACGGAACACACACATGGTACTCACTGCGCGATGCAGATCTGCATTCAGGCACACAGTTGAAGGGGGAGGGGGAGAATGGGCAGCAGGGAGTGAAAGGGAGAGGCGAGCATCTCGTTCTGCTGCGCGTGCGTGTTTGTGAGAGAAGAGGAGGGCAAGGTAGGGGGAGAAAGAGAGGAACCACCCATCCACCCACCCATCCATCCACCCCTCCACCCACCAGCAAGCAGCACTCACAGGTCGCCACGGCGCATGTAGCGCTTAACGAGCATCTCGTTCTGCTGGGCGTCCCTGCCGCTGATGACGAGGTAGTTCTCGGAGGAGATGAACCAGTGGAAGCGCTCAAACCAGTGCACCTTGCGCATGTGCTGCACCGTCGCTGCCACCTTGGCCTAGAGTGCAATGCGGTGCGGGGAGGTGGGGTGGGGAGGGAGGGAGGGAGGGAGGGAGGGAGGGAGGGAGGGAGGGAGGGAGGGAGGGAGGGAGGGAGGGAGGGAGGAGGGAGGGAGGGAGCGAGGGAGGGAGGTAGGGAGGGAGGGAAGGAGGGAGGGAGGGAGGGAGGGAGGGGGGAGGGAGGGAGGGAGGGAGGGAGGGAGGGAGGGAGGGAGGGAGGGAGGGAGGGAGGGAGGGAGGGAGGGAGGGAGGGAGGGAGGGAGGGAGGGAGGGAGGGAGGGAGGGAGGGAGGGAGGAAGGAGGCATAAGTTGAGGCAGGAAGGGAGGAAGGGAGGGAGGATTTTTTTCCATCTGTGGATTGAACGTGAGATAATCTGTGATGAGAAGCAGAAACCACATAAAAAGGAAGGCGAACGAGAGTTCAGACCTGTGCGAGTTGCTGCGAGGTCTTGGCGTGGGCGGCCTCAAGTGCAGTCTCATGTGCAGCCTCCGTCTTGTTGCGCTTCTCCTGCTTTGAGGTGTCTCAAAACAACTTCGCTATAACAGGGTAAGTGGCAGCAGCACACCTGTGCGAGTTGCTGCGAGGTCTTGGCATGGGCGGCCTTGAGCGCGGTCTCATGCGCGGCCTCTGTCTTGTTGCGCTTCTCCTGCTGCTTCTTGCGCGACTGGAACCACATGCGCGCGTTAGCGTATGCTGACAGCGAATAATCCACCTCCACCTGTGGCGCAGGGAGGGATGGGCGCGGAAGGGAAATGGGGGGGTGTGAGGGGAGCGCGACTGGAACCACATGCGCGCATTGGCATATGCTGACAGCGAGTAGTCCACCTCCACCTGTCACAGAGAGAAGGAAGAGGGGGGAGGGGAGGAGAGGGGGTTGTGTGGTTAAGAGCACGTACGCGTGTTGGCTTGGAAGAGTGTTGGCGTACGCTGACAGCGAGTAGTCCACCTCCACCTGTCACAAGGGGGGGAGGGGGGGATT